GAAGCCCCTGTCGCGGCAGGTCACGGGGCCGATGCCCCCCTGACTGGGGGCTCCGCAGCAGCAGGGACCACCTGCCATTCTTCAGTCCCCCCAAGGCGCTTGTGCCGGATTTTAGGGGAGAGGGGGGGTGAAACAGGCACGTCCCTGTTTGATCTTCAGCTGCTGCCAGCACAACACTCCTCAACTTTGAAGTGCTGCTAACACAACCCTTGTAAGCCAGCTGTCTGTGTCTTTGATAATGCCACACAGCCGAGGAGTTCTTTCGATAACACCATCAGGCCATTAACGAGCCAGGAAAATTGCTTGACGCGACATATCTGCTTGAATCACCAAAGTTTTTAGGGGACGCGCAGTGCTTTTTCGACTTAAAGGACCTGTCATGCTCTTATTTATAATGCAGCCTGATACACAAAGCTCTGTCAGTGTTATTTCCCTCTTCGTTCTGTGGAGCCCGTTTGTTTGGGTTTTTTTAAAAACCTCTGCCTGGCAGGTGCTCTGTTTTCAATAACATTCAAATACCCACATGAAACAACCGCCTCCCCAGCCTGTGCTGCCACGCACCTTCACGCAATGATGGCAAAGGGAAAAGCTGCTCTCTTATGCCCTCTGAAGTGCTATTATTCAGAGAGTGGGAGATGATTAACAAGTACTCTCCTCCTCGCCATCACCTGTCCATGTGTGAAGAGATTACAAACACCCAATTACCAAAGGAGATGCAGGTGAGGTGGTTTCCCTACTCCTTTCCAGGGCTGAGGGGAGGTGGACACTGTCTCTCCCCCCTTTTTCCTGCCCTGGCTTGTTAAAAGTGGTTTCTCTGCAAAATAAAAGTCTCCCTTTCAAGAAAAGGATGAAGTAAATCTCATTATAGAGGCAGAAGTTTATTTCTGTGAGATCTACTGACACTGCAGCCACACCATGGTTTGTGCCCTAGCCTGCAGAAAATTGACAGGATTTCCCTCTTCCAGGAGAAAAAAAAACCCAACCACAGGCTGCTTAGACTCAAAAATTCGAGTTCTTCAGCTTTTAACCATAAAACCCCTAAGACAGCAGAAGCAAGTCAAAGACCTAAAGTGCAAAGGAGCTGGTACACGTTTCCTTCCCCCTCAACCTCTTTCATCTCTTGGCTGGAAAACTTACCCTTACACCAATGGCTCTCATGGGGTGTCCCAGCTGTCTCACACACATCACACTGTTCTCTGTCCTTGCAGAGACCAAAGCCAGACACCATTCAATATGGAAAGTTCTCACTTAACATCCTTTCCTGTAAGTCACAGTCCAGAAGAACCTCAAATAAGGCCTTTATTTCAAGCTGTTCAGTTCTGCATTTTCAGTGACAATTAAAGAAGGAAATTCTCACTTATCAAGAAGTAGTCTGTCAGCCGCCAAGTCTTCCCACATTACTTTCTACACAGCATAAGAAAATATAAACATGCTATACAAACACTTTACATATTTTTTGGTTTTACATTCACTTGGTCAACTTACAAATAGTCGACTCTAGGCAGATAGTTAAAAATATCATACAACCACATGAATACAACCTCCATCTTACCCTTAAATTTTAATAAGAAAACATAGAAACTCTCCTTGGCAAAATAAAAACATATATATATATGTATACATACATATACACAGTTCATTTTGTCTCTGTATTCAAAATATTAACAAAAAAACTCATTTCAAATGCATTGTTCTGGTTAGCATAAAGTAACATTGCAATTTATAAAAGTGGACTAAAATCGTTTTTCTCTAGAAGGGCTGATGAAAGCCTAAATCAAAGAAATAAAATTAGTCGCTTTTAAGAATAAGATATCTATTAAAAAACCAACTAACAACTCAAAAGTTGTGCTGTTTCCATCAACACAAATGTCTTAAGATTAATTTATTATAGGGATTTAAAAGCAAATGAAAGCTTTTCCTCGATTCTGTGATTTTTTTTTTAACCGTTTAAAATTTACATTAAAGTTCTGAAAACCAAGTTGATGCACAAGGGTAAACAGCAGCTTTCAGCTGCCCAGAAAACAAAGCAGTGGAAAAAAAATACTATTTTTGAGGCATTCAGAAAGCAACTTGGATGCTTAAAGACTTCTAAATCCAAAGCTTAATTAAGGTTAAAAAAGGTGGCACAAAAACTGTATTTACCTCGGTCTTCAAGATGAAACAAGCGTGTCAGACCTGCATACCTTTACCTCTTCCGTTATCAGCCAGCCTGCATACCTGCAGCTGGTGACCCGTGCCCACCGGCAACCCAGCCAGCGTGCAGTCCCATGTGCAGACTAGGGATTGCTGTGAGGCAGGCGATTAATCGCTCTCTTCACTGGAGTCAAAAATGTCACTGAGTCGGAAAGCTGCTTTTTTCTGTTGCCTAGCTGTTGAATCCTCAGGACTAAGACTTTTCCCTTTCCTTTTCTGTAACATTTCTTCAAGTTCTGGAAGTTTCTTTTGAAAGAGGTAATCAATAATTTCTTCGGAGGGAAACAAAAAAAGGAAAAAAAAAAAAGCAGTCAATTAGATCTGTAGGGGACCAGGATGCTGAGGGCAAAGAGGATCTCACAGAGGGCAGTTGTTGGCAGTGTTAAATGCACAAAATGTCACTATTCCGCAGTAACCATGGCAGCTGCGGGGTACATCCGACATGCCAAGGTAAGCTAAAAAAGCACAGTCATAACTCTTTCAAAGCCAAGGTGTTACAGGGAAGAGGCTGACAGCACTACATGAAGATGTCACTGAAAGTAAACTTACTGAAAAAAGCACTTTGTGAAATAAGTATAAATCCTGAGATTTTAGCAGATCTATTTAGAGGATAGCTAACTAACAAGCGTTGAACTAGACCACCCGTCCTCATAGATTCCAACAAAAACCTTAGCAAGTGTATACAAACAGCTGGGATACTGACCAGAAAATGTCTTTTTTCGCCATAAAGGGACACTGGAGACTTTTAGCTTATAAAATTTTGTTTGAACATAGGATCTAGGGACATCTCTGGAAAGAGAAAAGTTCAAAGAATTAGTGCTGCAAGGAATTACTACAAAGTTGAGTTGTTGCTGAGTTACCCATTCACTAGAGCGACACTAAACAGTATCTTAGCTTTAGGTCGAAAGGATGATTTCAAATCCTAATCAAAACAGTTTTTCAAGACAGCAATTCCCCTTGTAGTTAAGAACCTAAATCATGCCTTTAAACATATGTGTTATATGTTTAGTGAAAAGAAATAGTAAATAAAACTGCAAGTACGTGAGAAAAGAAAAAAAAGCACTGTGGAGAAAGCACAGCTTTCAGTGTTGATGATTTCATATTCAACACTTACATTGTCTGGAAGATAACTATTGTACTGCATTACACATTCCCATAATTACCCCTTTTTCCTGTGTGTTGATTAACACTTGCAAAATTCTTTTACCCAAGGCCTTAGCACAGACAACATAACACAGTTTTAGTACACACAATGAGCTGGGAATACAATAAGGGTTGCCAGGGTGTTTAAAACTAAGTTTCAGAGATCCTAGGCATAGGTATATGCAAGGACATTCAACTGTGTGTTACCAAACTCAAAGACGTCTTCTATAGTTGCAGAGGCCTAAGAACTTTGATTGCTTTGTCGAATTTTTAAGACCGCCTGCTTCAACTACCCTTTGTATCCAGAAAAAGAAGGAAAAGTTTACCCAATAGTATCACAGAGTTCTTCCCAGTTTACTTCATTAGCATCCTCCACTTTCAGTTCATACAACCTGTGAATAAAATACAGAAGCAGTTTGTAGGCAGTATTCAATCAATAATTCAATAATTCTCACAGCTCCCCCTAGTCAGAAGTCACAAGACATTTTATCCAATGCAAGAGGAGTTGTGAAACCTGTAGGAAACTGCAGGCATGCCATTCCCACCCAGTACACTCTTACAAGCACAACTCAGAACAGTAAGAGATACAAAAGCATTCCAGTAATTCTGAACTATACCTTTTAATAAGATTGATCTTGGCCTGTAATGCTTTGGTTCCCCTATATAACTTCTGCCCTTTGGTCATCTTGTTTGTTAAAATTGAAGTCCTTTGAAAACACACACACAAAAAAAAGAGGTTTCTATCATTTTCAGAAATTCCAAGCATCAAAAACAAGTGTCTTCAAGACGCTGCTGCTGCCACAGAGAAGCAGAAATCAGGCTTGGCTATCACAGCAAGAAGAAAATTTACCACAGGGAGCAAAGAGTTATTTGTCTCAGACACATTTGGAACACCCCTTTGGTAGTCCACAACCTACCTATCTCTTCACTAGCAATCACCACAGTACAGACACTTTTGCAGAATGGAGTGTAACACTCCCCAGAACACATTTTACTAGCTCGACTTAGCGTACCTCAACGTAGTAAAGGTAAGGCCTTACCATTTCTGTTTACATTGTCTCCAATACCGAGTTCCCACTTTAGCTTCAATCTCAGTCCATGGTAATTTGTGGCACAGTTTCTCACGGTCGATCAAGAGATCTCTATGTGACTTTTTCAATGATGAAGGAGAATCTGCATCTTCTGTTTCCACTCTTCTCCTGATCACTTCCTCCATTGCACACATTAATTTCTGGACCTCTTCCTTTGACCAAGGACCATAATTAATAGCTAAAATTGAAAAATAAGGATAAGGCATAATGTATCCTAAATCATTAGGAAAAAAGGCAAAAAAGCAAATGCTTCACTCTGCATTATTCTTATTTACAGGATCAGCTTAAGACACTTCCCAGAAACTCTTCAGCGTTCCAGGTTTGAGGGAGGAGTCCAGCCTAATCACTAAATAATAGCAGTGATCCCTAGTTTCTGTCTTTTAAAACCTGGTTGTCAAATTCCTCCTGCTCTCCCCCGAAAGCATCTATTTAGACGCCAGTTCCATTTAATAGAGCTGTATTTGTTCCACTTTTCCCCTTTCTATTAGGTTGTTCTTATCCCTTCCATATGAAAACGCGATTGAGTGGTCTGGCAAAAAGAACCACCACCACAAATTAAATTAATTTTAAAAGAAATCCACTCTAGGGATTTTTTTTCCTTAAGTTCAGGGCACATACAACATACAGTTCAAATAACTTCTCCAGCTGCAATACACAGAATTAATAGTTTTTCTTAAAATTACGTACATGACTTGATTTCAGAGTATTTCATAGCAACTGAGAGGTTAGAACGGGACATCATCTCAGAAATTTTCTTCCAATCGTTGCCATGCAGAGCATGATACTTCTTTAATTTTTCTTTTTCTTCCTTCGTATACCTAGTTGAGGAAATGGGCACAGCTTCAGCCATACATTCAAACCATTCCAGTATCTTAAAACAGCTGTAACCTTTACAGGCGTTTTCAACGCTACTCATCACTACCACGTCAAGTCACATTTTAGAACAGAGGAATTTATAGGGACTAGTCACAAAAATGACCTGTCAATTAAATCACAGTAACTGGCATAAATGGGAGAGATTATCTTCGTTTATATCCATTTCTAGTGTACAAATAAACACTGGAGGCTGACATTAGCATTCAGAATCTCTTTCAACTTACCTCCCTTTGTAATTATTCGGGTCAAACATCTTCCTTGCTCGATAATATATCAGCCTCCAGGGTCGTGGTATGCCCTCAGCTAGAAGGTAAATGATTCATTGTGAAGAAACGTTTCTCACCCTGGCGAGGCCACTTTAAAAAAGCCAAAACCAAACCAAAACCCAACACCACACATTTCCATGACCGGGCTGTCAATGACAGATTCTCTCCATTCAAGAGAACATATTCTACAACACAACACTGTAACTGCACAGCATCACCTGAACACAGTCTCCTGAGGAGTTTCAAAGATGTAATTGCTATGGCCGTGGTAAGATCATGAAATGATTGTGTACGTGTGTGCATTCACCCCAGTGAATTGTCAAAACCTGACCTTTTGAACTCCCAAGCATAAACCTGTTGTTTACTGGCTAAAAACCGTACAGACTGGCTGTCAATTTTGGTAACACCTGGATCAAAGGTAACACACTGAATACTCCCATTAACAGAGAGACATGAGACAGCCACCACTCAGGAGGCTGAGCAGCTACTGTGCTTGTGCATATTGAGTAGTGTGCTGGGGAAGAGCAGGGACTGGGGGCATCCCGCAAAACCAAAGTGAAGACCTTGGCTAAAGGGAAGCTCCACGGAGAGCAATACCTGGGAACACATTAACAATCTCGGTCAGCAGTGTCCAGGACAGGGGACTGCAAGCAACTCTCCTAACACTGACACGACTTCCTGCTCCATTTTCCCAGACCAGGAGCAATATCCCAGATTGGAAGGGAACTCAACATCAGTCAAACATGATGATGCAGAGGGAATGATTGTGCATGTGAAATAATCAAGGAGGAACAAATCTGTAGCCTCACTGATCCTTAAATGCTAGTATCCACATCCATTGCAGGTGGTCATTTACTGTCTTGCCTATGCTAATGACAGAGAACAAACACAACAGAAAGCCACGAAGAAAGTGAACCGAGTGGATTCATCAGAGATCTCGCAAAACGAGCATGTTGGCCATATGAAGCATGAATGTTTTCTAGCCAAGAAAAGCCCAACAAAATGAGGAGAGGAAGAGAAGACACACTCCTCTTACAACCAGAATCTTAACCCTAAGAGTTTTGTTTTCGTCGAGTCTTGGAAAACTAGTACTTTGGCCAACAACCTAATTGCTTTCAGTTTCTGCCATCACTCACTCAGTCCTGAACCTGCTATGTATTTATGTGCTCTAAGAACAGTTGACAATTTCAGACAGGACTTAACCACACCTCCCATTAATAAGTCACTACGCTTAATTATAGCCTAGCAAATAATGCACCTTAGCCACAAAGACCAAATGCAAAGTTCTGAAGTTTGTAAGTGCAGCTGCTGGTCATGATGATATTTTTATCTCTAAACACTTCATACCCGAGAAAAGCTAAGTAAGATCAGTATGCTGCACAGATTACCAACCGCATAATCTCAGCAGCCTGCTCCTTTTTTGCCAATTTTAGCAACATCACTGCTTTTGAATTAATAATTTTCTAAAATACACCATGGTATCACCAGGTTGTGGAATATAACTTTCAGCAATTTGAGAAGAAACTTAAATACTTACAAAGTTTTTCACAGAAAAGATGTTCTGCTTTTAGGCGATTGATAGTTTCTGCATCTTCTGGATACCTCGAGGTAAACAGGAGTTTTTCAGCACTGTCTATTCCAGTAATCGTTATGAACTCTTCGATATTTTTCCGGATTTGATCATTTTCCTTCTTGGAAAATCTGCCAAACTTGACAGCAATACCTAAAATACACAGGAAGCTTTGTTTAAAAAAAAAAACAAAAAACCCACAACACACACACAAAGAGATAGCTGGAAGCAGGTAGTTTCCACATACACTTTAGAGTGTACTTTGACAACGAGGAAGTACATGCTACGAAGCAGAGAAACAGAAAATACATCTGTTGGAATGAAGGGAACCAGATGCCCTGGGTGTGAGAGACATGATAAAAAAACTATTTTCCCTCTGTCAGAACATGAGCACAGCTGCACAGTCCTTCCTCACTGGAACAGTATCTCTAAGAGCTCACCTTGCTTTTTAAACTCTTTAAACCTTGCCAGGTCTCTTCCAGCCATCTTCCTGATTGAATTGTCTGAGATATTCTTCACATGAGGAATAAACTCTTCGAGTTCTCGTCTTGCAGCATCCAAAGCCGTGACTGAAGACATGGCAGAGTCCAGGTGCTCTTCATCATCCAGACCAGGCTCATCAGAGGCTGCAGAGGAACTATTCTGGTCCTTTTGATTTGACGCCGAGGGTTCTGGTGTCCTGATATAAAAAAAGGAGTAAAATAAAATACACCACTAGAGCTCCAAAACAAAGAGGTTTTTTTTAGTATCTCTACCATTACAAAAATTAGTATTTTCAGTAATTAAGGAACAAGGAGTATTTCACAAATCCACTCCCTTGTATTTCCAACCTTTTAACACAGACAAACTTAAATTAAATCCCTTTCTTCCCTCCCTCCTATTTTTTTTACTAAATATGAATTGCCTGCACAGAAATTATTTCTATACCTACAGTTTTTAAGCTGAAGAAAATAGTCTATGTTGAAGGCAATGGTAATGTATTCTTACAAATTTTCATTGTATCTTCACAAGATAGCTAAGCTCTTAAAGCAGATCTCTATAACATTTCAACATATTGTAAAGGGTTTTGAAGTTGTTTTTCAAAATACATACAAAACAGACTGAAGTAAAATCTGGGACCCAAATAATGGCTAGAAACACATTTGGAAGGGTGAGGGGAAGGAAAAAAAACCCACACCAAAACCACAAACAAAAGCTAAACTTACATTACATCAGATTCCGAGGAGCTTTCTTCCAGGACCAAAATTCTGCTCTTTACTGCCTTTCTAGCATGCGCTGCAGTTTTTCGAGATCGATGAGCTGCTTTAGTCAGCCTGGAGAAATTAGCAGGTACATCTGCAGATTCTTCATTCATGGCAGGAGAAGCATCACAGTCACCATCTTCATGCTCTTTCTGGGGTGTTGCCATGCCACACTCTTTGGTAAGTAACGGCAAGACGGTGTCTTCCTCCTCCCTGTTTTGCTCTGGAGATGGCAGCAATGACTGGTCAACAGTAGCATCTGCATCTTCCTGCATATCTTGGGTACCACTGTCTCTTTTCTTCTTCTTCTTCTTCTTCTTCTTCTTGGGTGTCTTACTGTCACCGTTATCACATGCTTCTGAGGTAGGCAGCTCAGGTACCTCATCCTCTTGAGGCAATTTATGTTTTCTTCTCTTCTTAACAGCTTGCTCTAAAGAAACGTAATCAGCATCGGCCTCCTGACAATCATCAGTGAGACACTGATTTACCGTGACACCAGTCACATCACTTTGCTCATTTGTACTATCATCGCGCTTCCGCTTCTTCTTTTTCTTTTTCTTGTGGAAAGCATCCACTACAGTTTCATTACTAATTTCATGTTCCAGTCCTACACAAGAATTATCTAACAAAGACTGCTGCTTCTCACCCTTGTGTTTGCTTTTTTTCTTCTTTTTACAGACCTCACCTTCACCTTCATCCCTCTGCACTGCTTGATCTTCCAACAGCAGTGGAGAAGCATGGCCAAGCTCTGCATTTTGTGCGCTTTCACCTTCATCACTTTCATGTTTCTCGCTGTATTCTTTGTGTTTTTTCTTTTTCTTCTTCTTCTTCTTCTTCTTCAGATAATTCCAAACTTCAAGATCATCTACACTTGCTTCTTCTGTCATATTTTTTCTTACCTTAAATAAAAGACACAAGTTTTACCACCCAAGTGCTACATGTACCATTACACACAAAATATAAAAAAAAACCCACAACATAAAAATGATAGAACTAATCAACATTTTCTTAAAATATATAATGAAGACACTTACTTTTCAAACCAGCTGATTTTAGAAACTGACTATGAAAAAGCGATGCCGCCTTCATCAAACAGATGTGCATCACAGCTGTATTCAGCTCTACAATTGCCTTCCTGTAACACCAAAGACACACTTTAATAACTATAAGCTTTTAGTTGGTTTTGAGTAACTAAGCAACGACGGACTGTTACATTCAACTCCGTTTTCAGCACTGAAACAGCAGTAAGACAAAATAAAGAAATGGTAAACTAATCAGCATTAAATCCAAGTTCCCTAATTAGCAGCTTCTGACGGGCTGTGCCACAGGCAAACAGGCCCAAGCCTCACCGAGACCTGCCGGGTCCAATGGACTCAGTAACCAAAACCATTCCTGAACACCACAGTTACACAAAGCAGACGGGAAGTGTTTTTTTAGCACATTTTCTACGACCAGGATATAAAGTCACATAAAAAACCCATCCCATCATCTCTGAAACATAAAACCTTGAATTTCACATCCTCAACAGTTTCCAGCACTGACCAGTACCAAACTTTTACCTACTCACTGTCACGGGGAACCGGCTGCCCTGAAACCTCTGGGGACAAACCCCAAACTACGCTCCGCCACGCAGCTCGCCCCAGCACCGTGCTACGAAAGCCAGGCCGCAGGGCACACGGCGAGCCCGGGGGCCACACGGCGAGCCCGGGGGCACGCCTGAGGGCCACATGCCGAGGCCTA